AAGTGACAATTCATCATTGATCTATCATTATGATGTTGCTCTATGGAATCATCATATGAATGAATTGTTAAAAGTTCTATTCTATCAAACTGATTTATGGTAATCAAATTATTAATTAGCCAACTATATTTTTTTGCATTGTAACTTTTACTTAATGAATCAATATATATATTCACTAAATATTTATTAATCCTCTGATCTTCTATATTTTCAGGATTATGGATTGATATATTATTTTCTATTGCTGGTATAGGAGAACTATTCTCTATAGTTTTAGCAACACATGTTGCCATATGATGTGCAGATGATAGTGTTGTTGTATTTGGATTTCGGTAACTATGTATTGAATGGTAATCATCAATGTTGAAACAAAATAATTTATGTTTATTTTCTTCAAAGTATTGATATATTTTTTTCAAATGATTATCTGCTATTTTTCTTTTATATCTCTCCACTGTTTTATAGGACACTGAAATACCAAGTCTTGACATTATATCAATACCTTCAGAAGTTGTACCAGATGAATATAAGTAAAGTCCAATTTCTAATTGAAGAGAATTATTAAGTTGATTTCCTAGACCAGATAATAAATAACAGAACCCAACAAGAGATTTTTTGCTATTTTCTATATTACTATCAGACATTTTGGATGGAAGAAAAATATCAACCAATTCATCAAAAAAACCTTCTAATTGTGGTTCATTTTCTTCAATCATATTCTGGAACTTTTTAGGGTCTAATTCTATTTCCAATTGTAATTGCCTTTGTTTTTTATACAAAGTTTTTGACAATAATTTAATTTTTTCTTTTAATTGATTTAAATTTCTAATATTAATTTTTTCATATTCTCTTATTTTTTTTTGCATTTCATTTATTTTATTTATTAAAAGGTCAGATTATCTTTAGATAAAGATACCTTGTCATCATAATATTTGACATTTATATTGGACCAATGAACAAAATTTAATTCATTATTATTATTTGAATTTTCCAAAAAATGAGATAATCCAAATTCTGTACAGCCATCATCATCTTCAATATGAACTATACCAAATTCATCTAATTTTCTTTTCTTATTTTTATTTCTATTTCTATCTGCTTCTACAATTGATAAATAGTGTGAATAGCAAATTTGATCATTGATTTGAAGGTAATTATAATTTCGAAATGTATCAGCACTTATAGCCTTTTTTTTAGCATATTCAGTAAATTTCTTAAATTTATATTTATCAGGATCATTTTTATCACAACCTCTAACTTTGCATGGACCATTATTTTGGCAATTAAAATTTGATTTGATTGTTAAAATTTGATGTTAATTTAATTTTATTTTATTTTGATTTTAACTTCAAACTACAAGACCTATATATATAAAATTATTACTATTACTGTTAAAAATAAATGAACTGGCCAAATGTTTTTTTTTGTGATCTCTGATCAGCCATGACTATTTCTATTTTTAATTTTTCACAACCAATTAGAAATTTGTTTTGTGTGATATCTCGGATTAGATTGTCACAAACTTTAACCAATTAAATTCCAAGAAATAGGATGTCCATTATGCTGTTTTCCTAAGCATATTGGAATTTTGTTTTTGATCAACATTCGAAATTATCACATTACACAATCCACACAATCTTTATTATACAGAAAATACAAAGTAATTTAATTGTCATTATTTAGAATCTGGACTTTGCTCTTAGATGGAAAAGAAAAAGTTATAATAAGATTATACTGGCATTTATTTCAGATTACATATACTGGGAAGAAAATCAACATCCTTTTGAAAATATCATCTTGTTAATTTCAATGAATATTATGTTGAAAATTTTCACAGCAGGTTACATGCTAATATTGATGTAAACCAAAATGCAGAATGAATTATTAATCAAGCATTTGTAATTGGTAAGTTCAAATATATATATATACATATATACACACTACCCAGATAAAAGTTTGTGAATGATGTTTTTTGTTAATTATGCAATATGCTACATAATAACAACACATAAAATTTTAACATTATATGGCCTATGTTCTTGTTCGTTTTTGTATAAATTTGATGTATTTTGTATTTCTAGTACTTCATTAATTAAAAAAAACGAAATACTTTTTTTGAAAAGATCATCAAAAAGTTAAAATTGAATTTTTTTGTAAATTACATTTTAGAAAAAAAATAACAAAGAAATAAAATCTAGATGCATTAAAGTATTTAGAATCATATAATTTATTCACCAAAATTATAGCTTTTATATATAAATTTAAATATTTTTATTATGAGAATTTTGAGAAAACACAAAAATACTGTAAACATTTTAAATTTAATCAACTTTTGTTTTTTTTTTTTAATTAATAAAGTACTAGAAATACAAAATACGTCAAATTTCATATGAAAATGAACAAGAACCTAGGCTGTATAATATTAAAATTTTATGTGTTGTTATCATGTAGCATTTTGCATAATTAACAAAAAACATCATTCACAAACTTTGTGATCATTGTAAAGAAGCATTTTCTAATAATGTTGATGATGTAATAGTTTTAATTAGTGGACATGGTTATCATTTAACATGTTATAATACATTAGAAAGAGTCAGATACTGTCACCGATTAAATTTGGGAGAGCGTATTTTAATTGGTGATAACAATTATTTTTGTTTTGCGTAGATCAGAATGAATAGGGGATCAACAAATTGATTTTATTATTAGCAAATAATTTTGGTTAAAGAAGATAAAAGTTTTAAATAAAATATTTCTATTTTATTTATTTAGTTTTATTTAGTCGAAACTAATTAACTTTTGACAAAGTTACTTTTACATTAGGTCGAAATCAAGTTCTTTATATACATGTTCATTTACATATTAGCCTGAATTGCGCGAATCCGCTCAATTTGTACTTGGGCGAATCCGCACGTTTTGAGCGATTCCGCCCGTTCCGGGAGAATCGTCATTAATCTCTACTAAATAAAGTTAAATAAATATGAAGGTGCTACGGATTGATTAATAATAATAATAATACGCGAAACGTAACACGAAATTCAGATGATAATAAATAATTATACACGTTATTAAATAAAAAAACAGAAATAATAAAAATAAAATAAATAAAAATAAAAATAAATAATAGATTAAATAAAATAATAATAAAAATAAAAATAGAAATAAAAATAAAATCTAATTTGACCCAAAATTAAAGGATTCGGCCAAATTATCGTCATCATCATCTGATCCTGGTAACAGTGGCTAAAATTATATCCAAAATTATTTAAATTCTTTGATTCAATAACCAAAATTCTGTGTGGTTTTTTTTATGACCATTGATATAGGGAATATGGAAAAGCCAGAATATCACCAAAATATTTGCAAACGCGAAACCAAATTTGGCTAACATGTACACTCGGCGCTTGATATAAGAAAGAGTTGGTTTTGACAAAAAAAGATCGGCAAAATTTTTACAAAAAATGAATTGCTGAATTTTTGCGACACATTATTACTAAATTCAATTACTTTATTTTTCGCGACACATTACTAAAATCCAATTACTTTATTTTCAACACTATTACTAAATTTAATTCTTCAATTTCATGTATAATACTTTTAAAAATTTTTTTGCGACAAATTACCAAATTCATATTAATGTTAATATTCATGAGAAGATTTTTTGCGACAAATTATATACTAAATTCAAAAATTATTATTATTTTAATACAATTAAGTAATGATCAACAAATTTTTATAAAAACTTATCGATCTTTAGTTATATAAGGGGTACCAAGTAAAACTTCACTATATGATTATATCGAGGATTTATATTAAAAGTCACTATATCGAACGGAATTTATATGGGAAATTTTCCAAATTTACTATATCGTACGATTTACTATATAATAGATTCACTATATCGAGCGTCGACTGATGGTTCATTATATTATAAGATCTTGTTATTTTATTTTTTATTAAATAAAAAATTCACAATAACCAATAGATTTTTTGATATAACGTTGAAAAAATCTCGCATATATATTAATATAGTTATAATGGAGCTTAGATGTTTCAAATGCACACCGCAGATCGCCACCAAAATCTACGAATTAACTATTACTATATATTTTTATTTATAATCAATCACACACCACTAATATTAATTGATGTTTTTATCACTTTTGATATAAGTTTCTTTTTAATTTTTTGGGGGATGTTCGGATATTTGAATATCCATCGGACACTATCCGACAGACATACATAGTAACAGCCACTACTACCATAATAATAATAATTAATACGACGGAGGAAAATTATTTGATTGGTTAATCTTATAGATAGTAATGATTTTAAAAGTAAAACTTTGTCAGCCTGCGGAAATAATCAAGATTTAGCTAAAGAAAAATTTAATTGATGAACTATCATCACAGGTCAAGATTTCTGGTGCGATTATTATATATGTTTTTGTAGAATTAATTGTTGGAAAAAGATATTATTTTTTTAAAAAATCAAACATCGTACTTTTCAGGTAAGACGAATATTTTCTTTCAATGCATGCAACGATAATAAATAATAGATCCTTTACAAATCGATAAATCCAAATTAATGAAGTTGTACAGCATCCAAAAAGATTTTAAAAAAACGAGATAATTCGTTTATTTTGTTTATTTTTAATTTAAATTACTTGGAAATGAATTTTTCTTAGGTTTACTCCACAATTAACATGCCATTGTTAATATTAAAACAAAAATATTCGTAATCACCATTAATAGGACAGACCATATACAAACATGTATTATAAAAATAAATTTTCAAATTTTTCTTGCTTAAGATTTTTAAAAATTTACTTTGTTTCATTTACTTTTTCTTGTTTTTTTTTTTTTTGTTATTTCTTCTCTTCTTCCCTCTTTAGATTTAAAGAAATCTTTATCATTTTTATATAGCTTAAACAAATTTTAAATAATAATATGATGATGATGAAAAACAAGACAAAAAAATATTTCACCATTTCAATAAAAATGATTACTATAGTGATGGTTTTTGCATTATTGTTATCAGCTAGTAGTTATTTTTTCATATCAATTTATTCCGCATCACATTTACCTTTGAACGATAATATTCCCATTCGTAATAACAATAACATAACAACAACAATTATCGAGCCTACTACGTTGACAACAACAACTACAACTGATTCAACTATTTCCACTTTAGATTCTCCACAACTATCCATATTTACTGGAGGACATTGGTTTACTGGACCAAATATGATTACATTTTTCATAAGATTCGAGAATAACCAAAATCAACTAAATTTTGATTTATCTTCGATTGATACTTTTCTAGTTCTTGGCAACGAAAAGGTTTTAATGAATGGAGATATGAATGTTTTTAATGATCACGGTCTATTCACAACAGGTAAATTAAATTCTCTGAAAAAAAAAAACTTAAATTCTTAATCTTATATACTATCTATATATGTAAAGTATCAATGCCTAGAATTGATCATTGCCGTAGTTACTATTTTGAGTTATTTACATTTGATGGAAGTTATGATCGATGGCCAAAAAAAAATGTATTATACACAATTGAAGGTGGTAGATGCCTTATGCCATTAAGTATGTTTATTATTATTACATTATTTTTTAAAATCTAATGTGGTAATTTGATTTTTAATGGGATCGCCATCGTCATTGCTATTCTTTGTTAACAAAAAAAAATTTCTTCAGATGAATCACTTGCGTGGTTTTTATTTATAGTTGACTTGTCGATTGCATTCTCCTATTACACTATTCCAGTTCAACTGATTTATTTCATAAGAAAAGGTTTGTAAATTTCTTTGATAAAATCACATAATTCTTTATAAATAATAATATATTATTTTTTACATATAATATAGCACCAAAACTACCATTTCCTCTAGTATTTACTTTATTTTCAGCTTTCATAATATTATGTGGAACAACTCACATAGTATCTGCATGGATGCCTTGGAATCAAAACTATACTCTTTCTGCAATAATAAAAGTCTTTTGTTCCATAATATCTTTGGTAACTGCTGGAGCTTTATTAGTCATCATTCCTAAAGCATTGGAACTACCTCTATTAGCTGCTCAATATAAAGATGAAATTTCTGAAAGATTATTATCTGAAAGATATTTACGTAACGAAAATCAAACAATGTCCAATTTTCGACGTGTAATTCATGCTGTATGTGAAACTAATTTATTATTATTATTATTATTATTATTATTATTATTATTATTATTATTATTATTAGAAATATACATAATTTATATTTATATTATATATAAAAGATACGCGCGACTTTATCAAAAAATGTGATATATCATAATACTGTGTCTCAACTTTGTGGAATATTGGATGCTGATCGATGTCAAATATTTATAATGAAAACTCGTGTTGGTTGTTGGGAATGTGTACAAGATTATTTTAATCCTAATCAAATAGCTCAACAAAATTACAATACAACAAATTCTCAATTAAATCCAAATAGTTTAATGGTCAGAACTGTATTTAAAGATAATATCGTCACGCTTCTTAATTTTAGAGACACTGAGTTATATGATTTATACATCAATGTAGTAATTAATTCTTGGTCTGGAAGATTCTTGATCTTGCAGTGCAACTATATCCAAAGAAGTCTCTATGACTTCTTGCACACAGAATGGAACCCGTTCCAAATGTAGATGACCTTCTTCGTATTTTGAAAAATCCAAAACGTTGTTGATTATTGCTATTAGCATATCGCCACTTTTTTTAATAATCTCCAACATATCACATACTTCGTTCATTTCACTATTATTTGAGATACTAGGCGTTTCAAGTAACATTGAAGTTAAAGCAAATATTGCATATAAAGGTGTACGCATTTCATGAGATATTACTAAAATTATTATTATTTTAAAAAAAAGTTAGATCAATTATTATTATTTTATATATTAAATAATAATAATATTATTATATTAAATAACGGAAATTAATACACACCTGCAAGAAATTCACGGTGTGCCTGTTTAGTAATTAAAAAAAAATTATTGGAAATAATTTAATTGGATAAATAAATTAAAATAATAATTAAAAGAAAAAATAAATAAATATCCATTTGATTATTACATGTATTGCAGAAGCTTCTTTTCTAGCCAATTCCAGGGCTTTGTTTTTTTCA